ATAGCATTATATGCCAGTAGTGCATATTATGTGTATATACTTTTTCTTGTTCTTGTTGAAATTGTTGTGAAATAATATTACCATTTTATTGGTATTAGTATATCTACACTCAGAGAGGCAAAAAAAACATTGAATTTATGACAATACATGCTTTGGTTAATTTTTAACAGCGAAATGAACTGATGAGCTGTCTAATTAGTCCAACTTTAACAATTAGTTATCATTTTGTGTGAGTTAAAAAAAATCCTCACAAATTTGCCGAAAATGTAAACTTATCCTACATCAGAGAGAATTCATAATATATGATTCTATTAGTTGGTGAATGTAGTGTGCATTCACCAATTAATAGAATACCTAATTGCTCCTGATTTTATCTAGTCTGGGTTTTTTTATGGAGATATGTTAAAGACAGTGTTTACAAAACTCGACCAACTGTTGTCGATAACATGAGAGAAATTATTGTAGCTGCTTTTCGATATAGAAGTCGACATATGTATGCCCTTTTAAAATGAAAAGATCCTTTTGAAAAGGCAATCATTTTATGCAGTTAACAGGAAAAGAAGCATTTTAAGCATTTGTTTTCATCTAGCTAATTTTTGTCACATAATTATAGGTTTATATCTAGTTTTAATTCTGTAATAATTAAAATATGTTTTAAACGTGTGTCTTTTTACTACCGTTGACTATTTTACTCTACAATCTTTAATTTTTGTTAAATTAACAAAAGGTATATCACACAGCCACCCCCGCCTCCTAGATTTTTTCAAATAATGAAGATCTGTTGACGCAAAACCATAAAAATTAAAATATCTAGGAAAATCTTTGCCTGAGAGGTAGGCAACCTTAATAATATTTTGAAGATATATAAATTTCCCATTGAACACCGGAAAAATATACTGGGTGTTCCATTTAAAATAAAGGAGTAACTTGCTTTTAAAGGTGATTAAATGTAATTAATGTTCATTATTAATTTTGTCTCACCCTGTATAACTTTTTGGGTCAAATTTCAGTTTGGTTTAATATACAATGGTTACTGTAATTAAATATCAGGTTATACAAGGTCAACCATAATTTAGGTAGCTGTTATCGAAATTTAAAATTTACTCTTCATTTTCACAAAAAGTGTAATATGTCAAAATCCTTAGATTTTGGGTATATGCTTCTTTAATAAAACTTACCTTTATTTTTTTCCTAGAATCCGAAAATCAATTAATATATAGGGTGTTCTATTAGAAAAAAAAAACTTTGATGTATAATTTTTTTGGGGGACACCCTGTATAATTCTATATATTTTTATAAAACCCTTTTAGTTAACCTACATAAGCTGGCAAAATTTAATTTCGATATAAACTACCGTTCTCCTCCAATATGTTATTTGTAGAATATGATTCCTTGTTTTCTCTGAATTTTATTCAAAATATAGCGACAAAAAACTCGCGAAAAAATAAAATTAAAAAAAGAAAAGCGTCGAGGAAATCCTCGACCGCTTCCGTGTTCCTAATCAATAATCGCAGCGCTTTTACAAAGCGTATATTTATTGCGTTTAGCGGTATAAACAGTGCATTAAACGGCTTTAATGGAAACATATACTTACTAAACGCTATTTAAAAGATATACGAGCGGTTTATATTTACAGCGACCACAACCGCCATATATATATCGCTTAATAACCGCTTTTTATTAGCACCATAAACTGTTCGCATTGTCAGTTTTTCCATTAACCGTAAGTGTTTTTTTTTCTATCTTTTTCCCTCTCGTTCGACTATATGGGACGTTTCAATAAAACTATACGGTTTGAGGAGCAACATATTATTGCAAGGAGATAGATACCTGCGTAGATTTTGCCTTGGACTGTATGTTTCATGGTGTTTCACCGTGTAATTGCCTTTATTTTATATTATTCCATATGCAGGATGTTTCAAAATATATGTACCATTGCTCGTTGGGAGTTTTCCTGTCGTTGTTCTAAATTTAAACATTACAATATGATCTAGACAATTTTACTATATTTTTATAACTTTGCAAACAAATAACATTTGATAATAGCTTATTTTGCCAAAATCAAGCCAAATTTGCTGACAACTATATATTGGGACAGCACAACAAGAAATTTGTTTAATACGGAGTTACATCACCTTTCGCCTTAACAACTGCCTGAACTCTTAATGGCATTGTATTTACCAAAGATTGGCACATTTGAGGAGAAAAATTATCCCAAATTTCCTGCAGTTTTGCCCGCAAATCAAAAATTGTTCGTTGAGGGTGGTTTCTTAAATATTGCTTCATTTTATGCCACACAGTTTCTATAACATTGAGGTCCGGACTACTTGCAGGATGGGATAGAACTTTTATATTATTATTACCGAACCAATTTTTAGTTGATTTTGCTGAATGGCACGATGCTCCATCTTGTTGGAAAATATAGTCTTCGTTTGGAAACAATTCTTGAGCACTAGGCAAAAGTGAGGTCTCAAGTATATGTTGATATCTTTGGGCGTTAACACTGCCATCTATAAAAATTAATTTGCCCAAACCTCTTGCTGACATGCAACCCCAAACCATTATCCCCTTAGGAAATTTAACAACCCTCTTTAAGCAATCTTCATGAAAGGCTTCTGCTTTATTTCGTATTATTCGTTTTCGATGATCTCCAACGCAAACATCAAATTTAGACTCATCGCTAAATATGACCTTATTTCAATCATTTTGTGTCCACGATAATTTAGATTTTGCCCAATTGTAGCGATTTTTCTTTTGAATTTCTGTCAATAATGGTTTTTCTTTGGCCTAAATAAGAATTTGTATCAATAATCTTCAGGTAATTGATTATCCACACAAAATAAAGTTTACCTTGTAAAACCCCAGACCGCATTTGTGGATATATTTTCGGCAACATTCTCTTGATATATTTAAACCAGTTACAGTATTCCATTTAACTGTTACTTCGCGAAGAGTACTTCTTCTCGCAGACTTGCAAATTTTTACTAAATTTCGTAAATCTCTTTGATATACAACTTTTGGCCTTCCCGAACTTTTACCTCTAACGTCTACATTGGCAGATTCGCCGTATTTTTTTATTATATTAAAGACCGTGGTTTTTGGAATACTTAAATCATCAGAAATTTTTCGAATTGTTTTTTCCGTACTGTATTGACGAATGATAATTTCGCGTAGTTTTTGATTTGTAGCTTTTCCACGGAATTAAATAATTAACAAAATTGAAAATTAAAAAAATTAAAATTACTTACAGTAAATCTCACTACTCAAAGTATCGAGTCACTTACAAGCTGTCAATGCTGAAGTAAACAGTTTGCGACATTTGTGACGTTTATAGCAAAGCCGTCTATGATGATATTAATTATTTAAAGATACTTGTCCCAACATTTAGTTGTCAGCAAATTTGTCCTTTTATGAACAAAATCCTCTACTGTAAATATGGATTGATTTACAAATTCATAAAAATATTGTCAAGTTGTTTAGGATATATGGCTATGTTTATATTTAAAAAATTAAACATATGTTTTTCAGTCATTTTGAAAAATCAGGGCAATAATTCCAAAATATTACCTTATCCCAACATATAGTTGTTAGGGCTCGTAGTTAGCATATTTCTTCAAAGAAAATATAAACCAATATAAAAAAAGGTGAAAATATTTGAAAAATGGGGCGTTGCCTATAGTACTACATACTTAAATCGTTTGAATTCTTAATGGGAAATACCATAGCAATTAATTAATAACGTGTTATAGCCACGTAAGCGCTAATTGTGTATGCAATTAACTAAAACCATCGGATCAGCGTTATGATTTAAATTAATATCTGCTTTGATGTTTTTTTCCATAATGGATTTATACAGTTTATCGGTCAGCGAATCTAGTATATTTTTTAAACAAAAACAGTGTCGTATCAAAATAAAATAATATTAAGGTTTAATTTAAACTGATTTTCGTTTTATTTTTTTTTTATTTGAAAAAGATAATATTTATTATAACAAAGCATGTACTTTATACGTTCCGTCGCATAGAATTTTTGCCCTTACTCTGTAAAAGAATAATCTCACAACGTCATAGGCAAGATTTTTCGCAAAATACACGTAAAATGAAACTCTAAAATAAAAACAAAGCAAAAATTCCAACACTGTGATGTTCAAATTCAATTTTTAAATTCGATGCACTTAAACAGCCGCTAAACGGTAGTCTACTAAAATGCCGTTAATAGATATTGTGGCGTCGTTCATGTCGGCGGAAAGTAATGCCTAACCTTAAGCACTTTGCAAGAGCACCTGTGGGTCAGTGGCTGAGGCTATCGCTTCGTCAGCGAATGGTCCGTGGTTCAAATCTCACGCCTACCAAGACTTTTTTATATTTTTTTGCTTATAGCGTGAGTAAAATGAGTAACTAATTGTGAAAAATAAAGTTCCAACACTAGATGCAACATTTTGCATAAACACCTACTTGTACGGCTTGAAATTTTGATGCAAAATCCGGCAATACCGTAGAGGAAATGTATCAACCCAACTTTTATCTCTTTTTATTACATTTGATTTACCATTAAGCTGTCTACATCACTGTCTTACACATTAAAATCCAAACCAAGCAGTTTCGATGACCAGATCGGTATATTTTTTCAATTCTGAATTATTTATTAATTATTGATACAGAATCAAATAGACATCATACAGGATGAGCCCTAAATAAGTGCAAAACATTTATGCGTAACCCACGAATGATTGTATGTATGTATTTTTCGAAGATCTTTTGGAATTATTTTATATTTAAAAAAAATAATTAAAAAACATAATATCTATTAAATTCAGTTATAGTTAGTTAGTTAGTATTAAATTAATTCAGAACGAAATAATGGAAAAAATATACAGTGGTTTCCAAAATAAAATACCTACTACATACTTCTCAAATAAGAGCGTCAAAAATTTTAAATAATGAATGATAGTTAAATAATTCTGAAAAGACAGATAAATATTAATTTTGTTATTGTTGCAGGCTGCAGGATTGGAATTAAAGGAAAACCTAGCAGCAGGAGCCGCAGGATGGCCTTATCCTTCCGTATACCACCCCTATGATGCCGCATTTGCTGGCTATCCATTCAATGGGTAAGTCTCACTTTTATTATTAAATTTAGAAGAATTCTAATAAATAACGTATGATTAAAAAACTACTATAGTTTTGAAACTGTAATTTTGAATGTAAAATTATGATGGGGTATATGGATCGTCATTTAAAAGCTGTAAACTAGACGCCGTGTTTTCGATCACACAGTATAACAGAACGACAACTATATTTATTTTCCTTAAATTGTCTTAAATTAGTGCACATATTTTCAGGGCTAGTAGATCTCGATATAAGAAACATATTTTCTCTTTACCGTTTTTCAAATAAGTCCAAAATAAACGAGCTATCCCAAGTAGCATTTTCACGACATGCGACCACATGTTTACTAAACACAACGTTGGATTAGTTACAAAAAATAGTTAGCTCCCTACCTTGGATATTAAAATAAATTTAAACGTTTTTATAACCTTGTGCCGACGTTGAACTAGTACTACAGCAAAGTAAAAGCTTCTGCGACGTCGAATAAACGTTGTCTTGTAACCTTTTTTGCTTAAGTGATCTTTAGGTGATTCGGACAACGTAGTTACAACGTTGGACAATATAGAGTTTTCCGACGTCAGTTTTAGGACCTATTCCAACGTTATGCAAACGTCGTCTGTTTTACTAATTCCAACGTTGTTTAGATTTCCTTATTCTTACATTGGTAGGACGTCGAGTCACTACCTTTTTGCAACTGTATTGAACCATAACCTTAAATCTTAAATTTTCACTTCATTGTTCTGTTCAGTCAGACAGTTCAGTGCTGTTTTTGTTTTTATAAAAAAAAATAATTAAAATGGGACATAAGAAAGACAAAATTTAAATATACATCGACATTTATTACCGATAGTTTATCCAGTCCCTCGTTTATTTAGATTATAGAGGGCGGCACAAGCTAGACTCTATGATGACTAAATTAGGCAATCTTGCGACTAGTATACTACCTGTTAAGGCCGAACTGCGACTTTATTAGTCCAGTATGCGACTACTCGAACTACTCCATCTTAATCTCCACAACAACAACGTGAAAGCAGCCATGTTAAATAAGAAAATGTTTCGTTCCTAAAATAGCAATTCCTGCTTTTTTAATACATTAACTTGAAATATTTGACCCTAAAAAACACGCGGAAACAATTTTTTCGACTGCGAATAAATTATTCTCATTTTACTAAAAAAAAAATTGAAGAAAATTTTTAAAACTTCTTTAATTTTAATGCCCATTAGTATTTTTCAAAGTAGAAACAATACATTTATCAATAAAGTTGTTTGCGTTTAACTTTTTTGCCTTGGGTAACGAGTTACAGAGTCGGTTAAAGTGTTTCAATAATTATATGATCTTCAAACATCCTCCACACTTAAATACTTTTGTTTTGTTTTCCTTCACTGCCATCTGATATATGTCTCTAACTAAACCATAAAAATAATATTTTTACTATAATTATCCCAATATAGGATAAAACGCGACTTAGACGCCATATTAGTTTTGTATTTCTGTGAATTAGGATTTTAAACAACGTTGCAGTTTGTACTAAATTAGGCTTCTAGCCAACGTCGGTATCCAACGTCGTTTCGACCCAAAAATTATTCTCCAAACTAGTGCAGACTAGGGTTGGCACGAGGTTGTGCCGACGCGACGTTGCGCCCCGACGTTTGGTCGCGCGCCACAACGTTGTCCCGACGTCCAAATGCTGCTTGGGATGTTACTTTGAAAATTTAGGAAAATAATGATTTTTTGCTAAAATTTATAGAACCACTGGATTTTTTAATCTACTACCTATGTTACCTCATTATCAAATTATTATTCAAAATTAAGAAATTTTCCAAAATATAGGTAGGTACTTGAAAAATACAGAAATATCAAATTATGTTTTTCGCAAAAGAAACATTCTAGACGTATTTCTGGAATTGAAATATACCACTCCCAAATATATTTTCACTAATTGAAAAGACTCATCGTGTATAAAATTACGAAACTAGTTAACTTAAATTCTAAAAATTCATATTTTTTATTTTCCACGTATATATCAATGCTACCCTGCTTGCCACGCGTCCCCCCTAATGGGACAGGGTCACCCCAATTCCCATTACTCCCATTATAGCCTTAAATAATAAATGACACACGTTCGTCTCGAGGAAAGGACTTACCATCGCCCTCGCCATCGGTGGTCGATCGATCACTTTTGAAAAATTGCGGCCGGAAAGGCTCGTTTCCGCATCGCCGACCCGCCATTTGGACGAAACCATCGAAAAACCGACCGATACGACACGAGATTTTTTTTTATTTGTATTTGTAATGTCTGTCTTGGCTCTAAAAATGTTTACATTCGAAAGTGTATAGTCAGGCAATGGATTTTATCGACCCTACTTTTTTCTCTCTTTAATACATTTGATTTGACCAGGTCCGTATATTTTTTTGTTCCTAATTCATTCAAAACAATCAAAATTAAAAATAATAACTCCAAATGCAACTCAATTTATTGTTGTCAAGATTATAATCCTCTAGAGAACCTCCTCCTCTTAGATTTTCTCTCCAACACCCTCATCTAACTGTCATCTTTCACTGAATAAAACATCGGTTTATACCGGGCGTAATTGAAACAGTGACCTGTGGGACTAGACGTCATTATTCCCGCTCACAGTAAAAAGAAGGGCAGGATTAGGAGAGGAATAGCGGACACTGGGGGTAAAATCGGACGACATAGCTTATAACAAGGTTTAGTTATTAAAGAAATTGACAGAAGGAAATGTCGTGTCGTGTATCGACAGGAGAGTCAACATCATTTTAAACCGAAATATTTGTAAGAAAAAGTAAAATTATTTTGAGTTAACTTATCCTTGTGTTTCCTATGGCTCTACCGTCGCTTAACTTCAGTGATGACGTAGCTGGGCAGTTTTTTTATTATTTCATTTTTTAAAAACTGTAGTAAGACGTTAATAATCACTGCCTATTTTTTTTTCATAGTGCGATACAAAATTATGACAAACTCATGTAGGTATAGCGTTTTCGTATTTTTGACAAAGAGATAATAATTAAAACATCTCAAAAATGAATAATGAGCTAAAACGAAAGGAATTACACACATAAAAACTGAAAGGTTACTCAAGAAAAACGAAAAAAAACCGGTACCTACTATTTTCCGATGACGAATCTTTTGTAGCGTCAAAAGCCGCAGTACCGAGCAAATCAATCATCCGCCTGCGGCCGAAAATCAAAGAAAAGCCGGTCCTGGACCGTTTCCAAGCTTTTCCCGCTAATTACAGTGTGTATTTTGGAAAAACGACATAGGTAAAACACAATGGCGGACAGCTGGTTCAGTAGAATGATCAACGAGGGCGCCACCTACGCACAGACATTTTAACAGCATTGAAATTTCTATATTTTATGAATTATGTTAAATTTTAGTTTATTTGTCCAGAGTAGAAAATAACAGGGTTGGCAAAAACTAACCCTTTAATATGAGTGTACATTTCATAGCAAATAAACTTTTAGTCACGGTGATTAAGCTTGACCGGCACAGCGTTGCCCACCTTTACATATTTTCTTTGAATTAAAATATTTTATGAAATAAAAATAAAATGATTGTAAGTATATAAACAGTTATTGTTTACATCAACAAAACTCACCTTTTTAACAGCACCTAAGGGACATAAAGGGCCATTACTACCGCTTTCCCGTTCAAAATGTTCTAATAAAGTTGCAATGAGTTTTTTCGGGTACTAAGGCTACTATCTTGTATAATTCGCACTAAAAGAGGTTCTAAAAAGAACAATGTTCGACTACAAGGTCTTCTAGTAAACATTTTTAAGCTTAAAGTACGAGGCTGGGCTGAGAAATAATCGGCCTCGGCAGGAGTTGGCGGCGCTAGGAACAAATGCAATTGTTTTTCGTAAAAACTATCTTTCAAGTGACTTCTGTCCAATTTTCTGCGAGCTGCGTCACTTAGTTTGTACTTGACAGTGATTGAAGGCGAACAGATTTTGCATTTTTACAAAAATGAATAAAATCGAATATCGCGCAGTGATTAGATTTTTGTTTTTAAAAAAGAAAACGGACGATGAGATCAAAATTGAACTGAATGATGTGTATGGGGACTCTGCACCGTCGCGTCGTTATCAACAATAAAATATTGGCCTGCCGAATTTAAACGCGGTCGTACGATAATTTTTGATGATGAGCGTCCAGACCGTCCAAGAGAGGTCACCACACCAGAAGTGGTCGATAAAATCCATGGTATGGTAATTGACGATCGACGGGTAAGAGTGTGCGTGATTGCTGAGGCTGTGGGCATGTCACGTGAATGAGTGGAGAATATATTGCACGAATATTTGGGAATGAGAAAGCTCTCTGTGTTTGGCAATGTTTAACCACAATAAGAAGGACTTTTTGTGCCGTTTTGTAACCGTGGATGAAACTTGGATCCATCACAATACGCCAGAGACGAAGGAACAGTCAAAGCAGTGGGTTTCTCAGGGCGAGTCAAAACCAAAGAAAGCCAAGGTGAGTCTGTCTGCCAACAAGGTCATGGCCACAGTTTTTTGGGATGCGCACGGTATTATTCATATCGATTACCTAGAAAAGGGCAAAATGAGCTGTTGGACCGATTCGACGCCGATTTGAAGCAAAAACGACCGAATTTAGCGAAGAAGAAAGTGCTCTTCCACCAGGATAACGCACCGGCGCATAAATGCGCAGTCGCAATAGCAAAACTGTATGAATTGCGTTACGAATTGGTTCCTCATCCGCCATACTCCCCAGATTTGGCGCCCAGCGACTATTATCTGTTTCCAGACTTAAATTGAAGAATCGTTGGACAAAGTGTATAGAGCTTAACGGAGACTACGTTGAGAAATAAATTGAGTTTTGCCGAAAAGGGTTGTGTTTTCTTACCTAGGCCGATTATTTTTCAGCCCAGCCTCGTATCACAACGCTATTTATTTAAACCAAAAACTCGTAATACAAAACTAAAATGTCAAAACGAATGACAACGCCAGGAAATGCGGC